CGCCGGCGCCGAAGACGTCGCCGTACGAGAAGCCGCCGCCCGCCGCGACACCGACGAAGTCCGCCAGCGAGCGGCCAGCGAGCACGTCCGACATGTGCACGTCGATGGGGTCGAAGCCGGCCGCCTTGAAGGCGAAGGCCATCTCCTTGTGGCTGTTGACGCCGACCTCGCGGAGGATGGCGACGCGGGGCGCCTTGCGGACGAGGCTGCCGAGGGTGGCCGTCAGGGGCATGATGTTCTCCTTCGGGTCGAAGGTGAGGTTGTACGACAAGCCCGGGTCGGTCGAGTCGGAGACTGTGGCATACTCGCTGTCTGCGCACGCCGGGTTGTCTCTCTCCCTCTGCATGGCGTAAGACGTCCTCGACCACCACTGCTGCATCTGGGCGCGGTCCAAGCTGACGATAGGCGCGACTCCTCCGTAACGAATCGTGAGCGACTGGTCCGACTTGCGCTTGACGACACCGAACTTGCGGATAAGGCCGGGGGGAGGACCGCAGGTGGCGAAGCAGCGCTTGAAGTTGATCTCGTCCTCCTTGCGAACCTGGAAGACGGCGCCGAGCTCCTCGTGGAAGAGAGAGGCGAGGATGTCGGAGGCGGAGCCGGACTTGGAGATGCCGTCGAGCATGACGTCGACGCCGCAGCGGCCGGCGAACATCATCTCGGCGATGGTGGTCATGAGACCACCGTCGGAGACGTCGTGGTAGGCCAGGACGACGCCGCTCTTGTGGAGCTGCTGGAGAGCATCAAAGTAGTCTGTAATAAGATCCACGTTGCGAACGTCCGGTGACTCGTTTCCAAGCTGTCCAAGTGACTGCGCCAGGGCGGAGCCGCCCATCGCCTTCTTGCCTTCGGCGAGATCGACGTAAAGGAGGATCGTCTCGCCGACGTCCTCGACGCGACGGAGCTGGGGCGTCCAGGTGTTGCGGACGTCCTCGACGACGGTGACGGCTGTGATGATGACGGACATGGGAGCAGTCACGCTCTTGGCCTCGCCGGACTCGCGGTCCTTCCAGGACGCCTTCATGGAGGTGGAGTCCTTGCCGACGGGGATGGAGATCTTGAGTTGGGGGCAGAGCTCCATGCCGATGGCCTTGACGGCCTCGTAGAGACCGGCACCCTCGCCGGGGTGGTTGACGGCGGCCATCCAGTTGGCAGAGAGCTTCACGCGGTCCAGGGTGCCGAGGATGTCGGCGGCTCCGAGGTTGAGCAAGCTCTCTGCGACAGCCATGCGAGCAGACGCGGCAGGGGAGATGAGAGCCAGCTGGGGCTTCTCTCCCATGGCCATGACCTCACCAGTGCGGGTGTTGGAACCCAGCTGGAACGAGGTGGCTGTGACGGCGCAGTCAGCGACCGGTGTCTGCCAGGGGCCGACCATCTGGTCACGGACGGAGAGACCGCCGACTGTCCTGTCACCGATGGTGATGAGGAAGGACTTGGAGCCAACTGCGGGCATGCGGAAGACACGCTCAGTCGCGGTAGTGATGAGGGCGGCGTCGTTGACCGTGCCGCTGATGGCTGCCGTAAGGGCGGAGACGGCGTCGAATGTGGGCAGGTCGAGTCTGCGAGACTCGACGACACGCTCAAGGCGACGTCCAGGGGGGAAGAGAGCGTTGAAGGGAAGGTCGATGGGCATGGGGTTCTCAGGGGAGTCTCGGTCGCTGAGAGTAAGCTTCGCGTTGCCCTCGGCGTCCTTGGTGACGACGGTTCCAACATCGGAAAAGGGGCATCGCTCACGACCTACGGTCAATTAGTTTGAAGCCCTTTGTATATACGTATAAGTGTAGACTTACGGCAGATGCTGACGAATCGGTTAATGTTCTCCTTGTTGACGAGAAGGACGTAACGCTCCTGAGCCTCGTTACACCAAATTTGAAGAGGGCTCATGCTGCTGTCGGCGGAGTGAACCTGGCGAAGCTCGAACTTGCCGCCGAAGCCGGCGTCCTTGACCAGCTCGGGGAGGGCGTTGGACAGACCACCTGCACCGACGTCGTGGATCATGGCAATAGGGTTTTGCTCGCCGAGGGCGGCGCAGGTGTCGATGACCATCTGGGCACGTCGTTCCATCTCGGGGTTGCCACGCTGGACACTGGCGAAGTCCAGCTCGGCGGTATCCTCGTTGGAGGCGCTTGATGAGGCGGCACCTCCACCGAGACCAATGAGCATGGCGGGGCCACCGAGAACAATGGCGTGAGCACCATCGTGAACGTCGCCGAGCTCCTTGAGAGCGTGCTGGGGACGGACAGTTCCGACACCTCCGGCGATCATGATGGGCTTGTGGTAGCCACGCCACTCGGGAGAGTCCTCCTTGCCGACGTTGGTAAGGAGAGTGCGGAAGCAACCAAGCAGGCAGGGTCTTCCGAACTCGTTGTTGAAGCGGGCGCTACCGATAGGGGCCTCGAGCATAATGTCAAGACTGCTGGCGAAGTGGGCGGGCTTTCCGAGGTCGACCTCCCAAGGGGCGTTCTCGTCAGGGATCAACAGGTCAGAGACCCAGAAACCGCAGAGGCCAGCCTTGGGGGCAGAACCGCGACCAACGGCTCCCTCATCACGAATCTCACCTCCGGCACCAGTGGCAGCACCAGGGAAAGGAGAGATGGCGGTAGGGTGGTTGTGAGTCTCGACCTTGACCAGAACATGCACCACCTCCTTGGTGAGCTTCCAGCTTCCGGTGGAGTAGTCAGGGGCCCAGAAGCTGGCGGTCTCGCCCTCAAGGACAGCAGCGTTGTCGCTATAGGCGGAGACGGTGTACTTGGGGTTGGACTTGTGAGTGTTTCTGATCATGCCAAAGAGGGACTCTCCCATCTGGACCTGGTCAATGGTCCAGTTGGCGTTGAACTGCTTGTGGCGGCAGTGCTCCGAGTTGACCTGGGCAAACATGAAGAGCTCCACATCGTGGGGATTGCGGCCAAGACGCTTAAAGACCTCGACGAGGTACTCAATCTCGGACTCGTCCATGGCCAGGCCGAACTGCTTGTTGTAGGCCTTGAGGGTATCAACGGGGTCAGCATCGCCGCCAAAGATATCGACGACTTCCAGGGGATATCTCTGGCCCTCGATGAACATGGCGGAAAGGTCGGGACGAGACAGGCCAATGGTCTCAGTCATGCGGTCGTAGACGACATCCTTGAAGGCGATGTCGTCCTCAGAGACGGGCTGCTCAAAGGTGATTGTGATGGCTCTGCCGCGCTCGATGCGATCAATGTGGTCTGCGAGACCGCACACATGAGTGATGCTGGTACCCTTGGAGGACCAGGGAGAGATGTTCCGCGGGGTAACATAGTAAGTCTTTGACGACTCCGTGTTGGCAGCGATCTGGGCGGTGGTCTGGTCAGGAAGACCGAGCCACTTGGTCAGCTTCTGCTGGACAATGAGGTTGTTGTCGCTGTTCTTGAGGTGGACGTAGTACATCCAGATGCCGGCGACGTGGGCGACCTTGTTAGCGACATTGGCGTGCTTGTTGATGCGAGTCTTGAGCTCTTCGGCCTGCTTGGGCGTGTACGCCTCAGCGCCGACGAGGGTAAGGAACTCCATTCTGGCCCGGGTCGGGGTTGCACACGGAGAGCGGCCAGCGATCAATGGGGAATTCTCGCCCGGATTGAGGGTTGGCGACAAAGATAAGTTTTGCAGCATTCTGCGTGACTCTCTCGGCGGCGGCATGGCGGGGTGATCAAAATTTTGGCGGGGCGCCAGATAAACGATAAGGTAGCGTGAAAACGGCGTCGAGAATGGCGGGGCAGTTCTTCATTTTTGTGGCGGTGGAGGTGCATGGTGGGGTTCATTTTTTCGCAGGACTCACTGATCAAGGAGTGTTCACCTCGAGGAGCAGGAGCCTGACTGAGTCTCTCCAGGTTTGGTGGTCTTGTCCCGCGACAGCTGGGCCCGCTGTGAGGCATCCCCAGGGCCGGGCGGAGGGGCACTGGACTGGACGCATGAATCGTGGCTGGTGGCCCTGAGGTGCGCCGTTGTCGGAACAAATTTGGCAACCAAGTGTGGCTGGTGGGGACATGGTTGGTTCAGTGTTGTGAGGGATGAGTGTGTCCCCAAAGGTTATCTTATCTTGCTTGGGTGATGGATGAAGGATCAAAACTAAAATCGAAAATATTATAACAAAACCTCCCGTGTTGCCAGCCTTGGTTTTCCCCCGTTTTCTCAGTGTCTCTACTGTCTCTACCTTGTCCATCTTTGCTTACCTAACCTAGGTATCTCTGCACTTTAGCTGGCTGGACCTTGCTGCATTAACCAGAACTAGCAGTGCCGGGCCTGCCATCGCAAAATTTCCATCCGATGGGGCCGAACCGAGCGCAACACTGGAACGCAGCTCCCGTCACAATTTTGCCCAGCGTGTCATTCACTGACTTGCTGGCTCGGGCAGCGACGGTTTTGGCGGTGTTAGCACCTGGTCACGTTGACATGGACGGATACAGTGGAGCTCAGAGCGCCTGGGTGCACGGCGAGCAGCGAAAGTGCCGGCCGCGTCGTAGCGCATCTGGCGCTGTGCGATCGCCCAAGGTTTCGGGTCTCCGGGATGCTCCCACGTCTCCGTGCCCAACAGTCCCGTGCCGTGCCCCCTTACCTACCTTACCTGCTAAGGAACCTCTTGGTGCGCTCCATTCTGCGGCACTATTTCTACCAACCCTGTCACTCGCCCTCCTAAAACAGCGTCAGAGGGACCAGGCGACGTCAACTGGCACCTGGAAACAAGCAATTCTGGGTGGGAAGCTCGACCTGCACCTGTCTTGGCCCGCATCTGATTGGCTCCCCTAAAGTCGCCGTTCTGGATCCCCAATTCAAAAAGATCGGGTTCGACAACTCTGCGACCGCCCGCCCGCCCGCCGCGCTGCGCTCCGCTCCTCCCCTTCTTTTTCTCGACGCGACAGCCCTTCCTTGACCGACATCATTGCATCTCTTTTTTTCTCTTTTGCCATTTTCTTTAGAGTCGGTCGGGTGTTTGTCTTTTGCCGAATCTTTAATCCAACCTCGTCGTGTCACAAACCGCCAAGATGATGCACTGGCTGACGTCCTTTGTGACGTCCTTCACGGGCTACCTGGCCCCGATCTTCCTCATCATGTCGCCGGTCCTTTCCTACAGCGACCAGGCCTTGTCGATGCACCGAAACAAGTCGAGCGCCGGTTTCTCTCTGGACATCCCGTTGATCATGCTGGTCGCCTCTCTGCTGAAGTGCGTGGGTCGAAGTCCGTCCTCTCCGAACCCAAGCTGACATGCTGGTGCTACGCAGGATCTTCTACTGGCCCGGCTCACGATTCGACACCGCCCTCCTCGTCCAGGCGATTCTGATGGTTGGCATGCAAGTCATCTTGCTCAAGATTGCGCTGGAACACCGTCTGCCCCCGTCATCCAAGGGTGGAGAGGCCGCGACACCTTTCGCAAACGTCAACGACGGTCCCGTCTTTGGCGCATCGAGACCGTACCACTTTTGGCAGTGGAGGTCGCCCAAGCCGTGAGTCCACAGCCTCGCAAGTGCTGCGCGGAGCTCCGACTAACCAACATGGCAGCTACTGGCAATTCCTGCTGTACTTCTTCATCGCCTTGACCGTCTGCGAACTGCTGCTCTCTCCCGTGCCGGCGATTTACCAGAGCTACTCGGTTTTGATCGGCTACATTGGTCTCTCGGTCGAGGCGACACTGCCCCTCCCTCAGATCTTTGCGAACGCGCGCTCGCAGTCTTGCAAGGGCTTCCGCTTCTCCGTGCTGGCGAGCTGGCTGATTGGTGACGCCATGAAGATGTTCTGGTTCTTCACCTCGACGACCGAGATTCCCTGGGCCTTCAAGCTGTGCGGCATGTTCCAGGCCTGCTGCGACTCTTTCCTCGGTGTCCAGTACCTCATGTACGGTGACGGCGAGAAGGGCGAGATCAAGGAGCATGCCCTGGGCAATTATCCTCAGTACCCTGCCGGTGTCTATAAGCCGCCTTTGCCCGACCACATTAGCGGTCGCGTCACCCCCACACGGAGGACGTCGTCGCCGTACGGTAAGGAGCTCCGATAATTGAAATGCGTAATTCTGCGTTTGGCTGTATAAATGGTTTCGTTTCCGTCGACATGTATGATCCGCGCGATACGGTGTAGAATCTGCGACATATGGCAAAAGATATGGAAAGTAGCTTAGACAGGGATTAGACAGGGAGTTTCAGGGGCCAAGAGCCCGGGGCCAATTGTAATGCTATGGAAATGCAGGGGTTTTGATGAGAGAGGTGAGCTTGGTTTGCTCTGGAGATGTGTGCAGGCCGTTAACTCGCGTTAGCGACTACCTCTCACGTCACTTTCTGGGCGAGCTTGTGGCATCGCGCATGGCGTAACGACTGTCGTATTGGTTGCCGTTGGTCTGTCTGGATACCCAATTTCATAACTGATTTTTCTAATTCGCATTGGCTTTTCTTTTTCCTATGCTGTGCTCTTTTCTCTGCCGCTGCCCAGGTATCTTGGTATCTGCGGCTCACCAAAGGTTGCCAATGCTGATGAGTTTCCTAAGCCTCCCAACCTCCTATTTTCCAAGTTGGCCACCCGACTGCCGTACCACTCCATCGTCGACAACCTCCATCTGGCAGTCTCTAGACCCTGGAGCTGTAAGTCCTCAACTTACACCTCAAAAGTCCGCTCGTTGCGAAAGGACTTCGTTTTCATGATACTCGCTTGTCATTGACCTGCCAACGCCCCACAACCTGCTCATTTGTCACTATACCCTGTCTCTCTCTCTTTCTCTTTCTTTACTCGACCGACGACGAAATTTCCCGAATTGTCGACGACCTGCAGGAGCTTTAACGATCCTTTTTGCTACGAAATCGAGACATTTCCAACGGTCATATCTCAGACGACGTCCAAGTCTCCACTGGACGGTTCAACTCGATCAGCCTTCATCCCCGTACCCACCTCCGTGGGTATTCCTTGTCTGGTGAGAGTTGGTCTTGAGCGCAAGTTCAAGTTCGATTTGAGGAACAGTTGCGAAGAGTCTTGGCTGGGAGCTTGACCTCTCGTGAGGCGTCTTAAGCAACGTGGACGGGACGAGGCTAAATTAGACTGAGGGTCCATCGGGAGCTAAGAGGTAAGTTGCCTTGCTACTCTCTCATGGTCGATGTCTTTAAGATGCGCCATGTCTCCTTCTGTTGTATACCCTATTATACTCTGCCCAAGTCTGTGGCTACTATGATTTCCTTTGTGTGGAAGCTTTATGGCCGCCCCAAACATCATCTGCTCGGAGACAACTCTGCAGATGAGGGTATTGTATCTTCTCAAGCTTCTCTATGCACGAGACTCATCTCATGATTTATGGGGAGTCGCGGACGAGCATAGGATCCGATCGTGTACTAGGCATAAAGCATCGCAAAGCAAGCGCCCTCGTCAACACCACAGTACCTGCCGTCCTCGAAATAAGACGTTCGAAAGCGCCTGCCCTGGAGTCTTCTGCTTGCCTATCTTTGGGATATAAGTTCGGCTTCACTCTCTCCTCTTTTGCTTCCTTTACAACCAAACACATCCACCATCATCAACTGATTTTGAAACTGACACAACCTCACCTAGCCCAACACATCTTATCCATTAAAGCTTGTCTTTCTTTCCTACCATTCTCCTTGAATACCGTGTTTCAACGCCATCTTGGTAAGTCCATTGGTCCGGATCAGTTGTGGCCCTCGTCCTGCGTGAGCCACGACCCACCGTTGTCTCTTCCCTTGCCCAGCTTCATCGCCGAGTTCCTGCCCTCTACATGAGCACCTTCCCTCACACGACTCCTACTAGCCTCAACTTCCATCCCCAATCCAACTTCCAACAACTACCCACATCAAATACACAAAGGCTTACCATCACTCAGCACACCCAGCGCCTAGTCAACCATCGCAGCCTTACCGAGTCAACCTCAAGGCACCAGTCATTTACCAAAAGCACTATAATTTCTCACTTAAGAGACTACTCTTTCCTTAATCCTACCAGTGAGTACGCAGAACTTCTCCCCGTACAATTTTTGCCCACCGCACCTTCTCCGTACTCCTTCCCTCTTTCTTGCCTAAGAGCTTCTACTCGTTCCCTTTCTCCTCTACCTCTACCACGACTACCTCACCTCACCTCTCAACACAGCCCACCCGCCGGTACATCACCAACCTCCTCCACCCTCAATATTTTTAGCGGAGAGTGCGACTGACATAGCAACTGCCCCGCATCAGACAAGACATCAACATGGCTCCCGTCACTTCCAAGACGAACTTCAAGACCTACGACGCGCAGGCTCGCCTGCTGCGCGCCATCGTCGCTGCTCACCCCGAGGTGAAGTGGAACTACAAGGGTAAGTGCGACCTCTCGACTACTCCTTACTTGTATTTTACCTTGGTTTCCTTGTCTTTTTCATTCGTGGTCTGGCGTCTCTGACGTCTGGAAGATATCGCCGAGCACTTTGGGTCCGACATGACGGAGTACGCGGCTCAACACCGCTTCCGCGCCCTCAAGAATCACTCAAAGATCATCAAGGATGCAGTCGCGTCGGGAATGGACTGTATTCATATCCCAGCAGATCTTCCCAAGGATGCCAAGGGTAAGACGTGTTTTTGGTTGCTGTCGACTTTGTTCATGTTTTTTTCGTCGCCAACCTGTGAGTCCTGATGCTAATGCCTGAATAGATATCGCCAAGTTCTTCGGCGAGTCGACTGCCGACGGCATTCAGTTTCAGTTCCGAGGCATCAAGAAGGATGCTGAGTCTCTCAAGCAGACCGCCAACAGCGGCGGGAACCCAGCCACGGCCTTGAACCTCTCTGGCGCCGGCCCCTCCAGCGCTGCTTCGACCCCGCGCAAGGCCACTCCTTCGAAGCGCCTTGCCTCCGGTGGCGGCCGCTCGACTGTCAAGAAGGCCAAGCCCATCAAGCTCCAGCCGTTGAGTGACGAGGAGGATGACGAGGGTGGTGACGACGTCGATTATAACGCACTCGAGGACACCCCCTCCAAGTCGCGGGTCCGCGACCACGTCCTCGACGGCCGCATCGGCAAGACCACTCCCAGTCGCCGCAGCAACACCCCCAGCCGCGCCGCTACCATCGCCGCTGCTGCCAACATAAGCAACGTTGCCGCGGTCGACTTGACCACCTCTGACAGCGAGGTCAACACCCCTGACAACGCCCCGGCTTACGAGGCCCCGGCTCCTGTCAACTCGAAGCCCGCTTTCATGGCCCAGTCATTCGAGCAGCCGGCCGTCTCCCAGCCTGCCGTTCAGCCTGCCACTGACGTCTTCGCGTCCCAGCCCAGCTTCTCCCAGCAGGCGGACGACAGCTTCTACTTCAACCCTGAGCCCCAGGACGCCATGCCCAGCTTCGTTGTCAGCGAGATGGCCAGCTTCGACCAGGGTCTCTTTGGCAGCAATTACATGGACAACAACGATGGTGAGATCTAGGATGGCGGGGAACAGGGAGAACCAAGGACGGCGATTGGATTCGGATTTGCTTTCGTGCCTTCTAGATTTGCTTTATGAATTCCCTTCTCTCTCAGGATCTCGGGAAGCTTGGCGTTGGGAAGGTATCCCTAGGACGGGAAACACATGTACATTAGATGATTGACACGATTGACAGATAGTCAATCTCCACACAAGGCTTGATACGTGGGAAGCATTCAACAAACTGAGATACCATGGCAATAGGCCATCATGATTTACACCCTCTGCCATCCTCATGCGTATGATGTTGCTATGCAATATGAAAAATGTAATGACGGGTATCTCTTTTTTTAATTCGCTGCTGTCTACAGAGTGCGCCCGTCCGAGTATTCCCCCCTTTTGTTTATTGGCATTTGCTTCCCCTTCCCCCAAAAGACACTCAAGTCTCCTTCTCACCGCTGAGCAGCTTCCACAGTGCGTCCCTCTCGACAAAGTCGTGGTGAATGATATTGACCAGCCAGTACTCGGAGCGTATTCTCTCCAAAAGGGCCTCGCTCTCGCTGCCCTTGCCGTAGACCTTTGCCCACTCGCCCCAGATCTTGAACGCCTCCTCGGCCCACGCGCGGAAGCTGACCTCCTCGATGATGGTGGGCGTGATGATCTCCTTGCCGGGGAAGACGCCCCACGTAACGGCGTTGGTGCTCGTCTCGGTGCCCTCGAGGACGAGGCCGCCGCTCGAATCGGACGAGACGAAGTCGCCGGCGGCGTTGGCGGCGTAGAAGCAGATGGACTTGTCCTTGACCTCGTTGAGGCGCGCGACGAGGCCGGCCCAGTCGGCCGAGGGGAGGAAGAACTCGACAAAGGACTTTTGGAAGACGAAGCCGTGCTGCGGGCCCCAGCCGAAGGTCGGGTCGCGCGAGGGGATGCCGTTGACGGCGGGCTGGGAGGCGACGGTCCACCAGCCGCGGGAGTTGAGCTCGAGCAGCTCCTGCTGGATGATGTTGGACTCCGGGAGGAGCTCCTCCTCGCTCCAGGGGATGGCGCTGAGCTGGCCCTTGATGTGGCGGATGAAGAGGTTGTTGATGTCCTGGACGGTCTTGGGCGTGCCCCAGAGGCCGACGGCCTGGGTCACGGACATGTGCAGGCTGACGCCGTAGCCGTCGATCTCGCCGTAGGCCGGGGAGCGGGCGTCACCCCAGCGGCCGTTGGGGAAGTCGTCCCAGGTGGCCTCGCGGCCGAGGACGCCCTCGCCTTCTGAGATGGCGAGGGTGTTGGCGCGGGTGTTTACGGGCTCCGCGGAGAGGGAGGCGGCGGTAGTCTCGTAGGCGGGATTTGAGGCCGAGGAGACGATGACGCGGTTGTGGGGGTCGGAGCCGATGGAGGAGGCGCGGCGGTTGGAGTTGGAGAGGGCGCGGGGGACGGCGGACATGGGGTTGAGGCCGTTGAGCTGGACGGTGGGCATGACGGTGGCGCCGCCGACGGCGTCGTCGATGATGGCGGACTCGTTGTCGTCGTCTGCGTGCTCCGGGATGAGGCCCGTCCTCTCGAGGATGAAGGAGACGGCCTTTTCGAGGTTGAGGGTGTAGAAGTGGAAGCCCTTGGGGCCGGGCGTCCTGCTCTTGACCTCCTTGACTTGCTCGACGAGCTCGCTGAGAATGTCGACGCCGACGCGCTTCACCTTTTCGTCGTCGCCCTTGGCCGCGTCGAGGCGGGCCATGAGAGCGTCTGGGACCTTGGCGTGGCTGAGCTTGGTGGTGCGCTTGATCATCTGGTAGCTCTGGATGGGCATGAGTCCGGGCAGGAGGGGAATGGTCTTGAAGGCGCCGCTGGGGTGCTCGCGAAGCACCTTTTCAAAGTTGTCGTAAGCCTTAATGTCGAAGAAGAGCTGGGTCATGATGAAGTCGGCGCCGGCCTGGACCTTGTCGACAAGGTAGGGCAGGTCGTGCTCGAAGCTCTGGCCGAGGGGGTGGCTCTCATCGGCGTGGCCCTCGGGGTAGGCGGCAACTCCTATGCAGAAGTAATCGCCGTACTTCTTCCTGATGTACTTGACCAGGTCGATGGCCCAGACGAAGTCGTCCATGTCCTCGACATCGGAGTCCTCGGCGGTGCGGTACTCACTCTTGCGTGGGGGATCACCTCGCAGGGCGAGAATGTTGCGGATACCGAGTGCCTTTGCGTCTTCGAGGGCCTTATCGATGAGCTTGCGGCTCATGTTGGTGCACGTCAGGTGAAGGCAGGTCGTGAGACCCAGCTCGCGCTGGCAGATCTCGGCCAACTCAAGGGACTTTTGTGAGGTTGAACCGCCGGCGCCCCAGGTCACGTTGACGAAGAGAGGGCGCAGAGCCCTTTCCATTCTGTCCAGACGGTCGCGGAGGTTGGAGAAACCCATGACGGTCTTGGGCGGGAAGAACTCGAGGGAGAAGTAGTTGGCATCTGCCGGCAGGGCGGCGATCTTGTCCGTTATCTTGTCCATCTTGAGAGTGGTAGCTGTGCGTATTCCGATATTGTTGAGGCGATAAAGGGTCAATTGGAACTTCTGGCCTTCTGCGACTCCTACGTCGAAGAAGAGAGCCTTCAGCTGAAAAATCTGGGGTCGTATGCCGTTGATATCAGACCTCGGTGGAGGGGTAAGGCGGGGTGCTCAGCGGGTGAGTCTGAGAATTTGCCTTAGACACCTGGTAGACTAAGTGACGTGCGTAGAGACGGCAACTGAGAGACAAAAAGATGTCTGGGGTACGACGAGCTCAACGGTGGAAGCCGCTCTGGTCTGGATAGACTTGAATGCTACCTTATTGGTCTGTTTGCGCTGTCGTCATTCCTTAGCACAAAAGGCGTATCCACGAAGATATTGAAAGACATTTGAGCGATGGCGGGGCAGTTCGCTTTAAGGAGATCGGTGCGCATACTGTGACCGCAACTTCAGATGACACATCCGCAGGGCGGTGAAGCCGGTACACAGTGTCTAGGCCAGCCCCTAACGGTTTTTAGTTCTTCCGTGCTTGTTGCTGGGCTGTCCCTGGCTGTTACACCTTGGAGAAAACCCCCTTTATTAACAAAAGATGGTGAGAAAAGGGGGAAACTAATATCTCATGTGTCCATGTCCGGTCGCATAGCTGGTCTTATCATGGTTGAGAGACGGCAGGGCCCTGCAGGCAAACACCAAGTACGATCTCGTCCGTCTGCATGGGCTGGTCCAACAGTGTGATACCCCAAGACGATTTGTCCCAGGGGTGCGAGGGACAGATGACGTTCCCCTGCAGGTCCGCCCTACCCTCCGGAATTTTAGTGGCAGAGGACCCTGCAGGGATTCTGGGCGCCATTCCGAGAGCTCTCCGTTTTTGATGGAGCTCGGCTTGCAGGAGCAAACGAGGTCACCTTCCCTTCCACAAACCCCACGATAGCGTGACAGCGGCGGATGACTACAACCTCGCCGATCTCATTTCAACATCGACGTCGTCAATTGGCCATGACACAACCGTCGCGATGCAACTGATCCACGCAAGACATATCGGCCGCGTGTGGCCTGCTCGGGCCGTAGCGACATTTGCAAAAACTGCGGGAGCTTCACCATCCTTGGCATACCGACACCCGCAGCCCTTCGCGAGCCCATGCTTGGCTGCCGCCGCCCAGAGACGAGGCCTTGTCGACCTTCCTGCTCTGGACAAGAAATGGCGCCAGCAGTGGAAGACCTCGAAGTCTGCCGCAGACGATGCAGATTCTAGCAAGCCGAGCAAATACGTCCTGCCCATGTTTCCGTACCCTTCAGGCACCTTGCACATGGGCCATTTCCGAGTCTACACGATTGCCGATGTTCTCTCCCGATACCATACAATGAAAGGCTCCCGGGTCATTCTACCCATGGGCTGGGATGCCTTTGGACTTCCCGCGGAGAACGCTGCCATTGAACGTGGAATTGACCCCGCCATTTGGACCAAAAGCAATATTTCAAAGATGAAGGAGCAATTGGAAATCATGAACGGCACTTGGAACTGGGAAAGGGTTTGTTAATCAAATTCGTCGTTCGTTTCCATGTCTGACTTAATGTCTCGCAGGAAATCGCCACCTGCGATCCCGAATTCTACAAGCACACCCAGAAGCTCTTCCTGATGATGCTGGAGCGCGGTCTCGCCTACCAGGACGAGGCCGAGGTCAACTACGACCCGGTCGACATGACGGTTCTTGCGAACGAACAAGTGGATGCGAACGGATGTTCCTGGAGATCAGGCGCCAAGGTTGAGAAACGCAAGCTGAAGCAGTGGTTCTTCCGCATCTCTGAGTTTAGAGAATCCTTGTTAAACGATCTGGAGACCCTTGCCAAGGACGATGCTTGGCCTGAGAGAGTTCTTGCTCAGCAAAAGAACTGGCTGGGCAAGTCGACGGGCGCAACTATCAAGTTTCCCATCCTGGCCATGGGTTCTGACATCCACGCCAGCATCGAGATTTTCACCACAAGACCTGACACCCTTTTTGGGGTTCAATATGTCGCCTTGGCTTCTACTCACCCGATGGTCGCTTCTTTGGCCAAGGGTGACCCCGAGTTGCAGGCTTTCCTGGATACTCTTCCAGGACTGCCGAAGGACTCCAAGGTTGGCTACCTCCTTCCTCACGTCAGGGCTATCAACCCGCTGGCCTACCACGAACAGACCCCCGATGCCACGAAGGCATCTATCCCGGTCTATGTGGCGCCATACGTGCTTGGGGACTATGGTGAAGGAGCCGTTATGGGCGTGCCTGGCCATGATCTGCGAGACAATGCTTTCTGGAAGGAGCATCACTACGACGAACCTGTGAGATTTGTTTTGGCGGCATCTGAAGATGAGTCGACGTCCGCAATGGTAAATGATCCGTTTGTTGAGCATGGAGTCATGACAGCGAATAGCGGTCTTTTCAAGGGCAAGTCATCCGAGGACGCTGGTCGTATGTTGGTCGGCATCCTCGAGGCATCAGAACTGGCGAAGCCCGTTGAGAAATGGAGGTTGAGAGATTGGCTCATCAGCCGTCAGCGATACTGGGGAACCCCCATTCCGGTTATTCATTGTGGCTCCTGTGGCCCGGTCCCTGTTCCTGACGACCAGCTTCCGGTCAAACTGCCCCAAGTTGATGAACACTGGGCGAACGGAAAGCCCGGAAACCCATTGGAAAGAGCCGATGACTGGGTCAACACCAGCTGTCCCAAGTGTGGCGGTGAGGCCAAGCGAGATACTGACACCATGGATACTTTCGTCGACTCAAGTTGGTACTATGCTCGCTTTACGGACCCTAACAATGACAAGGAACCTTTCTCGGTTGAGGCCGCAAAGCAGATGCCTGTCGACTTGTACCTTGGCGGCGTTGAACACGCCATCTTGCATCTGCTCTATGCCAGATTCTTCTACAAATTCCTGGCTACAACTCCTCTCTTCCCAGCTTCGGAGGAGGGCGCAGTTCACGAGCCTTTTTCCCGACTGATCACCCAGGGCATGGTACACGGCGAGACCTTCACCGATCCGAAGACTGGAAAGTTCCTGAAGCCGGATGAGGTTGACTTGAAGGACCGCTCCACTCCGAAGGTGATCGCCACAGGCGAGACGGCGAATGTGTCCTATGAGAAGATGTCCAAGTCCAAATACAACGGAGTTGACCCGACGCAGTTTGTCGCCAAGCACGGCGCGGATTCCACGCGAGCCCACATGCTCTTCCAGGCGCCTGTTGACGAAGTCCTGAACTGGGACGAGAGCAAGATCAGCGGTGTCACACGATGGCTCCAGAGGCTGCATGACCATGCCGAGAAAATTCAAAAGTCAATTACTGAGGCCGAAGGAACCTCTATCAAGGTGTATCTCGAGGAACACCCAAAGAAGTTCGGAACTTTGAGTGCTAGTGAACTGGCCACCTGGGATGCGGACATTCAAACCTGGAGAGCTGTCCAAGGGACCATTGACTCTGTCACACAATCTTACGAGACGGTCTTCTCCTTGAATACGGTCATTTCGGACCTTATGGGCCTGACCAAGACTCTGCTCGACAACACGGTTGCAAGCCCACTGATCCAGAGAGAGGCACTATCCACACTCCTGCGGTTGACAGCCCCTGTCACGCCCGCCTTTGCGGAAGAATGCTGGAGCATTCTTTACCCTGATGCTGGCTCTATCTTCCGGTCGTCTTTCCCCGTGAAGGACGACACCGAGTCGCTGCTGACACCCCGTAAGCAGCCCGTGGCTATCCAGATCAACGGCAAGCTGCGTGGTGTCGCGGAGATTCCCTCCCCTCCATCTGATCTGGAGGGTGATGCATTGAAGGACTGGATGTTGGCGGAGGTGTTGAAGTCTGATGAGGGCAAAGCCAAGTTCTCGAGCGGCCCGCTTGACATCAGGTCTCCAAAGAGGGTCATTGTCGCTAGGGGTGGCAAGACGATGAACTTTGTGGTCTAGAGATGTAAAGATATGATACCCGGCACTTGTAAAACGTAGAAATACAATAAAACATCACTCCCAGATCTCGTCAGTGTAGAATGGTGACTTGATGCGTGAAGCCACCTAGCGCTCGGTTGGTGCCTTACCCCATGTACGCATCCCGCATTGCAGGTTGAGCAATCAACCTTCCCATCATTACTATACATACCCCCAGGACAAGGACCTGTTTTATTTGGGAACAAAAAAGTTGAGTTAAAAAAGTTCTTTCGTCTTCGGTCTTTACTATTTGACCACAGATCCTGTCGCCCAAATGTCTACATTCGAGACTCTATCTCTGCTCTCACTTCCCATGTTCATGTCTATACTCCTCTGTGCGCCATGTCTCGTAATCGTCTATCGCATCTACGTCATTCCTCATAAGATCTTTGTAACAGCCAGCTCACCCTCGCCTCCCTCAACCTCCAAGAAAGACCCCGTCTCCAGCTTCTTCTTCCACTTTGCGCTCTCGTAGCGTCCTAGGATCATCGTCATGCGCAGCAATGCGCCCTCGCTCGAGGCGTGCTCGGCCCCGCCCTCGGAAATGGGCGTAAACGTCCACCTCCCAAACGCCCAGTTGAGGATGTACCGCCCCTGCGGGTGCGGCGGCGTGGGAGCGGCATCGTCCTCGTCGGAGCCCCTCACCGTGGACGACGCCGTCAGCACAGCCTTGATGCGGTACACCTCCTCCTTGGGCGCCGCGCGCAGCAGGTCCTGCAGCTTCTCGGAGTTGACCGCCGCACCCTTGGGCCCCTTCAGCTCCACCGACAGCACCTCGACCTCCGTCTGGTGGTCGTGCGAGTGCTTCTCCCCGTTGTGCTCGTGGTCGTGGTCCTTGGCCGTCGCGCCGTCCTCCGTCAGCCCCTGCGCCAGCCCGCCGTCGACGCCGAAGACGAGGTCGGCCCCGACCCAGCCCTTGCGGCTCTTGACCCACGGTATCTCGATCTCGAGGTCGCCGACGCGGTCGAGGACCTCGTCGAAGCGGTCCTCGGAGCAAAGCTCCCACTTGTTGAAGACGATGAGGTCGGTGTACTTTGCCTGGATGCGCGCGGTGTAGCTCGTGTCCTCATAGCCCTTCCAGTTCTCGGTGTCGATGACGCTGATGACGCCGTCGAGGACGTAGTTGCCGGTCTCGCGGGCGAGGCGGTTGACCTCGAGGGCGAGGGTGGCGGGGAAGGCGGAGCCCGAGGTCTCGACGACGATGCGGTCGGGGCGGACGGTGGCGTGCAGCTCCTCGAGGGCGGTGCTGAGCTGGCCGACGAGGTTGCAGCAGATGCAGCCGTTGAGCAGCTCCTGCACGCCCGAGATGGCGTTGGAGGACGCGAGCTGGGAGTCGACGGCCAGGTCGCCGAACTCGTTCTTGAGCAGGGCGAGCTTGTAGTCCGGGTTCTGGGCCTTGAGCTGCGGGAGGAGGTTGAGGATCAGCGTCGTCTTGCCGGAGCCGAGGAAGCCGGTGATGATTGTGATTGGGATGGGAGCCATCTTTAGGGAGCGTGGTTGCGCCGTCGCAAAAGTCAAAAGAAAAAGAAAAAAGAGATTGGGATGAACCGTCAGATCACCATTGAAGAAAATGCCGCCGCGAAAGGGACCGGGCCACTCGAGCGGAATGGAGGGGCAGAAGAGCGATAAGAAGCCGATAAGAGCCGATAAGGAAGCTTCCAGCGACGTAATAAGGTTATCTTAGCGGGACAGCCAAGGGGACTGCAGTGCCGAGCTAGGCGGTTTGACGTCATTGGCCCCAGATTGCGGAGGCGCCCTTCTTACCTCACACCATGCGCCGCACCTGTTTTGCTGGCTTGCACAACGCAGAACCAAGCAAACCGGGCTCCCTAACGGATACCTAGCAGTGCTAGCATAGACGGACGGCAAGAAAGCTCCGAGTGCTAAGTAAAGGCCCAGTCCAGCCCCAGGATCGAAGGCATCGGTCCCCATCAATCAAGCACGACAGGCCAAGCTGCAAGCCCACCCGGCCGCCCAGACTTATGATCACATAGCTCGGCACCGGGACGCGCGTTTTGGTAGCTGAACCTGCATCTGGTCAGGCTCTCTGTCTATCCCCCGTCACCCACGTTGTTGCATCACCGTCCGTCACCCTATCAGGCTTACCTATTTAGTAGAAGCAGCCCTTCCCACCCCGCGCACCCTCCCAGTCCCCAGCCCTGCCAGGCGTATTCTTTCCTCCTTATTACTTGCCCGTCGACCCAATTCTTCGCTCTTAGCCTCTTTGATGCTTGTTGCTCCGCCACATTGACGAAAACTCAATTGCGACGCCTGCCTGCTACTTCTGTATACCTGGTCCGAAAACTGTCTCTACCGTCCGTCCCACCTCTCGCGAAATCCTTCCCATCCGTATCCCGAAGCTCCATACCTCCCTCGCTCAGCCTTACCGACGACGACAGCTGGCACGTGAGCGCATTCTCCTCCCTCACCCGCTTCTGACACTTCCCGTCCGTCCACCTTGTCACCATGTCCGCCCAGCCAAATACCAAGTTCGCTCCCGCCCCCAAAACGACGGTCAACAGCCGCGAGATGAGCTTCAAGGAGCAGCTGGACCAAGCGGCGCACGACGCGCGAGAACCCGACGAGCCGCCGAAGCAGAACCCGATCATCGAGAAAGGTGGGTGCCCAAATCCCAGCATCGTCACGACACACTCTCCTCTGTCTCTGTCCCTGCCCAATCCTCATACAGCATCCACCACAGCCACGAACACCAACAGCACCACCTGTTTTCTTTTGTCCGGTACGGTATAGCTCATGCAGACATTCCACAAAAGTGACACAGTACATTCCAGCCGCCGCCAAGATCCTCGGCAATCCGCCAGAGGAGAAGGAGGAAAAGATCTCGCGCCCGGGCATCCCTGGCCCCCCGGAACGACCGTACAACGACGCGCAGGTGGAGGAGTTTATCCGGCAGCAGCACCGCAGCAAGGGAGAGGACGGCATGCTGGAATGAAGAGAGCGAACTTTGCAGAGCAGGCTGAATGAATCAGGGGAAACTCGTTTGGCGTTTTCGTTTTCTTTTTGGGGAATTTCTCCGCCCTCACACTCGCAAGGAGGACACTTTGACCAAATTGGAGAGAAAAAAAAGTCCTCGCCCTCCCTAACGTCATCCCATCCGTCGTCATGTCAAAAGCTCTTGGCGACAGGTGAGGATCAAAGCGCGGACGAACATCCCTTCTACACTCGCAACTTTCATGAGAAATGACACAAACACCGACACGTACTCTCCATTGTTTTCACAGAGACGGTCGATAGCACACAGCAGGAGGGGGCCAGAACAAAACACCCTAGGAAACCTGTATTCGTACTCAATCTAAAATCGTTCAATTGATGAAAACGCGACACCCGAGGGTCCCATTGTCCCACCTATGTCCAACTCCGCTTGGTTGGGGCAGAATCTGTAGTACTGCCACCAAATGCCGCCAATTAGTAACAGAAAAACAACTTGTGCGAAAACGTTCAGGAAGGATAAAATGAGGTCTTTCTATTTTTCTCCATGCGAGCGAGAAAAAATTGAAGAACAAAGGAAGAGCAAGCAACATCCCCTAATCGTATGCCCAGGTACATGCTTCATTCCCTCCCCCTTTTATGATCTTGTCTTTGGTCGTGAAGGAATTAGATTAGTCGTGGAAATGTGTGTGTGAGAGACAGGTGGCGGCGAAACTTAAGCAAAGACGGTGAAGCCGGCTGCCATTGCGATACCGCAAAGGAGGCCGAGGCTCTGCTTGAGGGACGGTGCCGAGGCGACGACGACGGTTGAGGGCTTGCCAGTACCGGGAGCGGTGGGGTTGGCGCCGGGAGCACCGCCGGCGGGGACGGAGGCACCGGGAGCACCTCCGGGAGCACCTCCGGGAGTACCAGGGGCACCACCGGGAGTGCCAGGAGCGCCGCCAGGAGTGCCAGGAGCACCGCCAGGAGTGCCAGGAGCACCGCCAGGAGTGCCAGGAGCACCGCCAGGAGTACCAGGAGCGCCGCCGGGGGTGCCAGGGGAGCCGGGAGTTCCAGGAGCGCCGCCAGGGGTACCAGGGGAGCCGGGAGAGCCAGGGGTACCAGGCTGTCCGGGAGTGCCAGGCGTGCCGGGGGTGCCGGGAGTGCCAGGAGTACCAGGGGCACCAGAGGCACCGGGGGCGGCGGGGAGAACGCTGTAGTCGCCGTAGCTGCCATAGACACCGTAGCCGGGGGCGGAGCCACCAGTGCCAGTCTGGCCAGGGGCACCGCCGGGAGCGCCAGGGGCACCGGGAGCACCAGGAGCACCAGGGGCTCCAGGGGCGCCGGAAGCACCAGGGCCAGCGGGGCCACCTCCGGGAGCACCAGAAGCACCGGGGCCAGCGGGGCCGCCGCCAGGAGCACCAGGACCGCCGGGGCCGCCCTGCTGCTGGTTGCCAGTGCCGTAGGAGCCGTAGCCTCCGTACACGCCGTAGGGAGCGGCAGTGATGACGGGCATGTTGTTGGCGGTGACACCGTTACCGTTGATGACGACTCCGCCGGTCATGGACGGGGCCGGGCAGATGATGGGAATGGTCTTCTGGGCGCAAGGCTCGCAGTAGACGGTGGTGGGGACGAAGCACGGGGGAATGTCGTGGGTCTTGTACTCCCATGGGTAGCCGGAGCAGACCTCGGTGATGGTGTAAGTGGCCGTCCATGAGGTGGTCGGGTTGGCGGCAAGGGCGGTGGTGGTGTACACGGTGGTGTAGACGTTGCTGGTCACCGTCACCGTGGCCGGGATGGGGTCACAGGTGACAAAGGCGGAGCTGGTGAGTTGGCCGACACTTTGGAAGAGGCGTTAGTATAAGTGGTGGGAGTTGGTGTGAAGAGTGATGACAAACCTCATTTTTGCGGTTGTTCCTGTACGAGCTCTGGGAAGTTGTCTGTTGGATTGGCAGGGGTGTTTGAGGCGGGCGGATTAGGTTGGTGAGCGAGAGGAGAGCGGGATTGAGCTGTACGAAACGAGCGACAGACAGGATATCCTGCGAGGGGAACGAATGTGAGGGGACAGAGTCCAACGAGTGTACTGGGTGGGCGAGAGAGAGTTCTTCGGCGGGCGGAAGACCTGGGGGGGTTGAGAGAACTGGGGAGGAGAGAACTAATCCGAGAGATGGGCAGGATGAAGCTCGGCTTGCCTCGTCTTATAGAGAAGACAGACAGCGAAGGGCAATGTTGCCGGGCTTAGGCGAGGCGCCCAACACACGGGAGCCTGGGCCCCTGGGTGACTGTCCTCATCGCATGAAAGCAAGCAGAGGGAGGGAATGGGGGGACATTGCGATGCATTCCTCAGTCCGGGGGCGGACGGGACAATGGGAGATGATGGGTCCAGAGGGGCGACGTTGGGATACTGAACGAACGGTGCTCGAGAGATGTGAGTGATATGTTTTCACATTTGAATATGGACGTTGGATAGGAGGCAGGTCAGTCAACGACAGCAAGAAGAACCCATCTTGAGATACTGCATCTCGAGCGAGTTGAAGAAGGTTCAACACACATCACCACCATGGCGGCGGCAGGTCCAACAGGGAAACGGGGAGGCGGATGCCGGGTGAGACTGGACGGTGCGGTGCCTTGGACCTGACGCGGAGCTGCGTGCTTGGAGCAACGGCGCAAGAATGTAGTCAGGGGCCAAGACATGTGGCATCGTTGCACTCTCAACGACAGGGCCGTCCGCTCCCAGAAACGACAAGCAACTCGAGACACGTGCAAATTCGGGAATAACAGTCTAGAACCCAACCGGTCTCTCGCTCATCAGTCAACCCCAAGCTTACCCATTCGCAGTGATTGAGAGCTTAGCTGGGCAACTGCCGTAGACAGGTAACGAATGGATTCAGAGGAGAGGGCGGGTCGGTCACTTGCTCCCTTCCCTTAGCTGACCTCAGCGACGATCGCATCTCCACAAGGCGAGAGCTTCCCGTGGTGGAAAATATGCAGCATGTCCACAGGCTGAATGAACGACAGCACGAGCACGAAAGGAGACAAGCCCGCAGATCCAGTCCAGACTTCTTGCGTAACTTGGCATCGGTCCTGGACGGGCAAGGTCAGGATCGAGACATTTCCACTCTCGTCACCCATTCACCGGGAAGGTGTCACAAACGATGTTCATAACGCGAGAGCGCCTCCTCATCACCCGTCCATAGCTCAGGTTCAGCTAAGCCGAGAGCTCAATCCGCCTGGATCAAGTTCCGCTCAGTCCGTCATTTCATATGCACACAAGCGTCGGTTTTTAAAAGACACTTGAAAAAACTTCAGCATGCTCGAAAGCATGTCCCCCATCAACAGCATTTCTCACCCATCGCCCGAAAGAGCCAGGGGAGAAACTTCCTATAATCAAGGGTTTCAATCTGCAGAGCATTCCCTCCGGAGAGGGAAAGGCAACTCGACACCGTGGAGCTACTTGGTGCTGGTCGTGGCAGCTCTGGGTTACTTTTTGATCTAAGGAAGAAAAAGAAGAAGAAAGGTCGAAAGAATTTTCGCAGCGCGCCGCCATTTTGAAGCTCGAGGAATTTGGCGCTAGTCCCCCTTCAGACGGACCCACCTGGCGGACGGCTTGAATGTGCCTAGGTCGTCGCACGTGACTGAACGCACCCTGCCGCAGTCTGCTGAAGGTACGTACCTCACCGTCTGCATGATCCTAGCGCCCATTCCTCTCCACCAGCTTTTCACCGTTTACAGCTCACCACGCCAACACCACGTTTGGAACCAGAATGCTCGTCATAAAATTAATAATATTCAGCGCGGTCCAGTTGAGAACATGTGGTAATTAGGACCGTTCCAAACGAATTCGCCTCCTTCACTCCCCAAATCGCCACGCAAAAGAAACCAGGTCCCTGGAGAAAAGCAACAGTGGGACGGGACAGCCAGCCCTACTGCCAGGACAACCAACAAGCGCCGGAAACTCCAAACATGCGTCGTCTTCGTCTACCCATCAATCCGGATCTCTTCTCTCTCCGCCCCGTTCTATCTTTATGTTCTACGGCCGCTCACCAGTTCTTGGCCTGCAGCGTCCGCTTCCCCTCGACAAGCTGCTTAGCGTAGTCGGTGCCGATGTACCGCCCCTTGAACAGCCAGATGGCGATGCTGGGCAGCTTCCACGTGCCCATCTGTCCCGTCGCCCTGCTGCGGCCGATGGTGATGCCCGCGAGGACCTTGGGGTCCGCGACGTAGTCCGCCGGCCTCGCCGCGCCGGTGAAGTGCGCCTGGATGCTCTTGACGACATGCTGCGTCTGCAAGTCTGCGATGCGGCCGTACTCCCCTTCCAGGTTGCCGACGTCGCCGACTACAAAGATGTTATCGTGTCCAGGCGCGCGCAGGCTGGCGTCCTGGTTGACGTGGCCCGTCGCGTCCAGCATGTTGGACGGCAGGAAGGAGCTGTTGGGGATCGAGCCGACGGTGGGCACGTACGCGTCAGTCGTCATGGTCGTCTTCTTGCCGTCCTTGGTCGTGAGCTCGAGCGTCTTTTGCCCATTGGCCTCGGTCTTGACCGCGGTGACCTTGGTCTCGGGGATCGGCTTCACCTTGAGCTTGGTGAGCTCGTTGAGTGCCGCCCTGCGGACGTTGTCGACGAACGGCGGGCTGAGCGGTAGCGTGTCGTTGTAGACGAAGTAGACGTCCTTGCCGCCCTTTTGGGCGTACTCGAAGCCGATCTCGCCGGCCGTCTCCGCGCCCGTGACGCCGCCGCCGGCGACGACGATGCTCTTGGCATCCGCGAGCAGCTTTCGCACGCCGTGCAGGGACTCCTTCGTCTCCTCGGTGGTCCCGACCTCCTTCCACGGCATGCCCTCCTTGGCGCGGGTGCCGGTGGCGATGACGATGGCGTCGTAGGGGATGGTGCGGCGGGAGCCGTCGTTGAGGGCGATGACGACGTTGTTCTTGTCGTCGTTGAGGGTCTCGGCCTTGCCGAGGACGAGCTCCCAGCGCTCCTTCGGGTACTGGGCCAGCTCGGGCTCGATGGGGTAGAAGAGGACGTCGTCGCCGAACTGGCCGGGGACGACGCCTCGGACGGAAGCCATGTTCCAGTAGCTGTGATGCGTGTGTGAGTGTGCTGCATGTGCATGTGTGTCTAAACGGTGTCTCTCTTACTGCTCTGCATTGGGCGTCACCAGAATGACCTTCATATCCTCGACCTGGGCGGCCGTGTGCTTGAGAGCGTGATGCGCCACAGGCAGGCCAGACAGGCCGGCGCCAAGAACGACGAGAGTAGGCATCTTTCGCTGTCTAGATTCTATAATCTCAAACTAAGAAAGAATATGTCGCTTTCTGGTAGTGTAAGATTCTGTGATACTGAACAATAAAAATAGGTCTTGCGCGTTGCGGTGTTGGTTCAAAGTCGTCGACTAGAGGAAGCTCCAACGAGAAGCAAGCTGCAGTTGCTGGTCCTTGCTTTAAAGGGTTGCTGGGAAGGTGCTCGTTTAGGTTTCCGATACGTTTCGAAACGGGAATTGCGTGCCGTTGTGTTTTGCGAACTTGCCGAACTCCTGATCAGCTTCAGGAAGGGGATATGCAACCTTTATATTAAATTGGGAGAAGGAGAAGAAAAGAGACAAGATCCAGCAAGACGGATGAGGAGGAAGTTATCCCGCGAGGAATCGGATTGCAAATGCCAGATCCTAGCGTTCTGCATAGCATCACTAAGCCCGCACGGAATAGCAGCTTTCAGACTTCCAAAGAACAAAAAAAAAAAATGTTGCCCCGATTATTTTCTACAATTATGGATACCAAATTGTCTCCGAAAGTTATCAAAAGGGACCTGAGCGCACGGCGCAACGCGGCGCGGATACATTTTCGCAGTCTGCGCGGCGCAACATGTTCCCGTGCTGCTGTGTCTTTTGTGCCGTTTCGCAGGGGTTTGTTGGAGTGTGACGCCGCCCCCGGTCGAGTGGTCATCATGTGCGATAGTGTTTGCTGCTGCGGCCCAGCGCGTGGGCTTTCGCAGAGTGCAGAATGACTGATGAAGTGGAAGAATGGGCTTGCTCGCGCATTACGGATACAAGCGCAGCCGCTCGGTTATGATTCATTACCTTAGTCAGAAGACAGCGTCAGAAGAGAATCCGCAGCGCTGCTATGATCGATATCAAATGGAGTCAAAAGATGCTTAGGGAAAGGAGAAAAAAAACATCCGCCGCTAAGGCCCGTTCGGGGACGGCGGTTATGCTAATCTACGGACTCCTCCTGGTCTTTAAAAGTGAAAGCAAGACGGACATCAGTGAGTGGGCGCGCGCGGGAGTCAATTGAATTGGCGGGTGGCTTTTGCGGAGCCCGGCGGTGAACGGGCTTGGGTAGAGGGAAAAACTACGGCGGGCAAGTCGTGACGAGGACCGCTGATTGGGGAAGGGCGTGACGAAGGGCACGTGATCTGTAGCACATACCCATCCCGCGCGGCGGCGGGCTTCGGGGGCTTGCAAGCCGCCCGTCTCGGGTATCTTGCAGCTCGTCCAGGGCCCAGATTCTTCCCGAGGCGGAGACGATGACCCGTTATCCGCCGGTGGAACTCCATTCCCGTGTACACGAATACAAGACCTTCTTGGCGTACTCTCATCCTCGAACTTAGTTGATAGGGACAGATGCCCACGTCGCTTGGTGTCGGCTTAACCGCGCACACACACTACACACACGCGTCATGGTTCAGTGCCGCATATGAACTGTCGCATTGGCATGCTCCTCTACTTATATACTACATTGCGCATCCCACACAAGCAGCTCCCCTCAAAAAAAGCGGCAGCCAGAAGAAAAAGAGAAAGAAAGTTAGGATCTTCTGGCCTTCCCCCAGTCAACAGAAAGAACTCCTCCAACCATCCCCTTTTTATACCCATGTGCAGAGCGGGCGGGAATCACAACCAAACGAACATCGTACCGACGGCGCACAGGCACACGGCCATGAGGTTCAGGCCGGGGACGGATGCGGCCGCCTTCATCGGGTTCGAGGGCTGAGCGCCAGTCGGCGGGTTCGAGGCCATACCGGGCATGGGCATCGTCATACCGGGGGTCATGCTCATGCCGGGCATCGGGGCCATACCAGGGTTCGCGCCGGGAGTGGTCGGGGTGGTGGGGGGAGGCATCGAGGGAGGGGGCGCAGCACCACCGCCGCCGGGCATGGGCATGGGCATGTTGCCAGGCATGGTTCCAGAGCCGGTGCCGTTTCCGCGCGAGGGGCCGGTGCCCATTCCCGTGCCCGCGCCGACGGGGCCGGCGTTCGTGACGCGGAAGAAGTTGCCCGCGACGACCTTGTCCTGCAGACCGGCGGCCATGAGGGCGTTCATGGGGTTGAAGTCGCGGCGGTTCTGAGCGGCGCCAGAGAGCGCCATGAGGCCTTGCTGGGAGATCTGGGTGTGGTCGACGGCGACGAAGGTGTAGCGATGGCTAAGGGGCTCTCGCGCGGGCGGGTTGGGGCCGAAGTACGGCGCGAGCGCGGCGGCGTTCATCTTGTTCTGCATCACGAAGACCGTCTTGGTGCCCGCGGTCGTGTTGAGGATCGTCGGGGTGTCGGCGGAGGTGAAGCCAGTCTGCATCCAGTGGAGCAGCGTGCCCGTCTTCGGGGGCTGGTTGGTCGGGACGTCAATGTCCACCATCATCACGGCGTACTGGCCCTGCAGCTTCTGCTCGGTCGCGATCGTGGGGACATTTTGGCTAGCTGATGTTCTGTTAGGCCATGGTTCCCTGCGTGTCGGATACTTCCTCCCTCTCATAGTGTCTGTATGGGTAAGCACTTACAATCCCTTGGAAGATTCACGCCGTCCACCGCCGAAATGCCTTGGAAGGAGACGATTAGGGGAGTGTTGGAGGCGGGCATGAAGCCCATGGGCGTAGCGGCCGACGTCAACGTCGCCGCCGCCAGGACGGCAATAGCCTTGGACAACATTATTAAAAAATAATCTCGAAGGAGCGGATAGGTAAATTTGGTTTCTCTCGCTGCTGGTGAGTTAAGGGATCACTAAGGAAGGAATGAAAAGAAAGGAAATAACAAGACTACCGGGCTCAACCACAACGTCGTTTAACAGAGAAGGGAAAAGAGTTTCGTACGCGCCAAATAGGTGGGTGAGGCGCCGGCGTAGACATTATTTAGGGCGAACACATCGCCTTCTTTCGTCGCCTCACCCATACAGAGAGACACACACACCAAAGTCTTGGAGGGTGGTGGCCATCCCGCGGAGCGGAAACATTTAAGAGCCAAGATGAAACGCTGTCTCAGCAATCTTGTTACAACACGCAGGCCACGCTGCTGCATCAAGCAAGCATTGACCGCGATCACACTCTCTTGCTCTCGGGAGATGTGCGTCGATGGGCGGGGAAGTGTGTACCTGAAAATTATGCAGGGTCATCCTTATTTGAACGTGAGAGCACGGCCTGTGAGTGTTTTCTGCGATGTCGCAGGGCTGCACCGTCTAGCGTGTTTGCTGTCTTGTTCCTTCCCAAAGTGCGCAGTAAGTTTGATTTGGACTTCTTGTCTGCACATTAGTATTCGGTGTTAATCCGCTCGCAATTGCCAGATGTGATGTACGCCTCTCCCGACTAACTCTCAGTTGACATGATTGATTATTTCCACTCATTTCGCTTTATTCTGCAAGAACACTCGACGATTATTTGGGTGAGCTCAAGTCTTTGCCCAAGATGGGATGTTTGTGCGACGCCGGCACGGTTCCAGAGTCCCTCCGGGGTCTGTGGGTTTGTGATGCGCCTTACATCTTCAATTGCGACTCTGTAGTGGCCGTTGCGCCGGGAGCCAATCACGTTCTTCTGGGACGAACTCGATCTTCGCCAGGTTAATTGAGGGTGATTCCATGATATGACATAAGTCACCAGACCGCGGTTCTTCGACCCCCCGAACGACGGTCCAGTTATTCCCCCGGTCTTGGCAATATGTGGTAGCCATAACTCGGGCACTGCCGGTCATCCAGCTGGGAAAGCCATGGTGGCTGTACTTGGTATCGCTGGCACAACCCCGCCACGACGAGTAGCAGGTTTGCAGAGAAGCATGAAACATCGGCCTTTTGTTTCCGATACTCGGCACCCGGAGTTTGCTGGTGCTCTCACCAATGGGCTTTCGTGAGGTTCAAATCCAAAATGGACGCCATCTGAATTTTGCCACGAGGCTCTTCAAGTAACCGACTACAGGATTTGTTCTCAAAGGACGAATGAAATTCCCACTGGATATCCGGCTCGTTGCGAAGCCACACTGATTCTTGGACGCGACCCGAGGAGATGGCAGAATGGGCAAGACGAAATAGGCCGTTCAGTGGTGTTTGGCAAAACCAGACGAAAGCGAGGCACGACCGTTTTTCCGCACCCGCGTGAGGGAAGGGTCTCGACCGACTTACATGATTCGCGAGCTTGAATCGCCAAGGCAAGGTTTGCTGACCTCACCAAGGAGCCCAGCACGGCTTTTTGGAAGACCGGACCGGACCAATTCGTCTGGGTGCGTCTTGGCAAGCATTGAGAAATGCCTCGTAGATCTGCGAAAGCCGCAGTGTTCGTCAAGGTTGTGGGCATCTCCCAATCGAACTGGTTCGTAAATTCGTCCATTGTGGCATCACGAACCGTCTCGTTTGTGGGTGCATCCAGTTGGCGGTCTGCCAGTCGAAAGATCGACGCTGACAACACCCAGATGGAGACTCGCCGCCCGGAGACTGATGCATCCATGGCCTTAGTCCTCCGGACGACCAAAGTGCCTTTGAGGGATAAAGACAGATGGCGGAATGCGAGAACCCTGTGAGGTTTTGGTCGAGACCGTCGACAAGGGCAAGGGACATACATTTACCACCGAAAGATCTTTGCCTGGCGCACCTCGAGAGTCCCTCCAAGTATCACCCCCGCCTCTGGATGATTATGTTAGTGGGGTTCAGCCGGAGGATCGGCAAAGATCAACGTTTGGTTATCGTGCTCGCAGACCAGGAGGCAAGGGTCTTACAGTGAAATCAGACGAGGACTGCAGTAGTTGATCGTCAGTACTCCCCATTCTGCCCGCCACAGAAAATAGCCGTCTGTCCCCTCCTCGAGATAAGTTTTGAGATTTGTTCTCGGCGAGGTGCGTCTGAACACTCGGATACCGGTCCCAAAGGGTTGAACATGAGAGATAAAGGGCATCTCATCTAGAACAAGGTTCTGAGATTTGGTGTCAGGTCCGAGAGGCGAGGTTTCATCTGAATCCGTCAGCCATTGTGAGGTCGACGGGACACTTTAAAGTATGTGTGGCAGTCGGAGAGGGAGGGCC